GGTAAAGATGATTTTAAGGTGCATCAGTGGCCATAAATAATGTCATCCTGATCTATTATAAAGGTCTCCATCAATCTTTTACTTGCTTGTGGTAGCCATTGATGGTTATTAACTAGAGGCAGGAATATAGGATGATGGTTTGTTTTTCATTGTTTCCTTGGCATTTGTGAAACTTATGCAAGGTTTTCAAAATATTAAAAGGTTCTAGTACAGGCTTGGATACTGAAGGTAATCACTCAGTTGAGAGGAGAGGACAAAGAAAATAAACTAATGATAGAAATTCTTGGTTTCTTGGAGTCGAGGTTTAGAGAAGATGGGAAGAGTCAGAACTTCTTCACTGTAACAAGGGAGAAAAGGGGGTACAGATCACAGAACTTGCAGGGTTAGTCCTCTGAATAGTAATGAGGTTCCCTGTGGCATATATTATTCAATAAAGTGTGTGGCAGGGGTACTGAGTAGGAAGACTAAGAAATAAGTTGAGAAGCAATAGTGTGGATTCTTTTATGTTTAATGAGAGTACTTTAAAGATAACTCTAAAAATTCCTGTAATCCTCGCACTGGAACTTCTACAGGTTTTTTGTTTGCTTTCCGCTCTTCTCTTTAAAAGGCAATTCTGAAAGCCTTCTAATCTCTTTGTTGTTCACTTGGATTTCATTTACATTATATTACATTTTTTTAAACTTGATTATTTGCCACTGAGATCTCTTTGATTCAACAAATATCATATTTGACCTTTTCCTGCTGGGTAACTAGAAGTATGGATTATCATTACATGATTAGCAAGCATATTTTTGGTTATAACATTAATGTTTATATTCTGAGAAATATGTTAGGTTCTGGCACTCTAGAATACAATCCTAATCAGTTCCCAAAAGTTTCTGTATCAACCAAGCAAAAGAATGAACATTTGCAGACAAGGTCAAGTGTCTCCAGTGGCAAAACCCTCATACCACAAGAAATATCTCTTCTTAAAGCATGTACTTAAATCATTTTTAATTCAGACAAAGAATTTTCAGGGGCTTCTGCTTCCAAGCAAGGTGAAGTAGCAGGGAATAGATTATCTTCTCACCTGAAGCAACAGGTAAGAAACACCATGAGCTATGAACAGCAAGTTTCAGACACTGTGTATCAGAGCACAGGACAGTAATCCCTGGAAGAAAAACAAAAAAGGTAAACCCTATAATTACATTTCAGGATCATAGCTCAGGAACCTTATTGTAGCCAAACAAATTCTCTGACTTAAGTTTGAGGAGACTAGATGGCTAATGTTCACAGAATATCACGCTGAATAGGAGAGAGTTCTGTTTTGTGTTATGGTGTTTTAAAACTTGGGCTCTTGTAGCCTTTGAGCTGTTAAGAAAGGAGTATCAAATGGTCAGAAAGGCAGATTATTTATGATACTTTTCTTTCGATCTTGATGGCATGACCAGTGTTAAAGTGTTCCATTGGAAATAGTGACAGTGACTAAAGACATCCTCTGTGAATAGCTTGTGTGGAACAGCCAGAGACAAGAACTTTTCAAAACAGTTGAGGCAGCACTGATTCTGTACAAGCTATCATGGAGTCTGAAGAGCTATAGCTGATGGAAACTATGTTGAAGAAGAGAACTTTACAGATCTTGCGAAAGTGTGAGGCTTTTAACTCATGGTCATTCACTGTGTTGTTCAGCAGCAGCTATTTTAAGAGCAAACATTTGAATTTAACTGTGTGCTATGGATCAATAGAGCTGGTGGTGAAACTCACTTGTTTTCACAGATTTTAATATCATCAGTTCCATGAATTCTTCTCAGAAGTAAAGGATAAACAACCCTGACTTGTGAGAGTACTTCAGAGCTTAGAGCTGATAAAGTTTCTTGGTTTTTGTTTTTGGTAATTTTTGTGTAAATTCAGAACTGACACTCAATTTTTCCTGAAGGAGAAAGATCTCTTTTGATAACTATTATAGAATATTGAATAGTTTTAAAATTAGTATTTGCTACAGTTCTGATAGTGGTTCTTAATAAATCCAACCAAAAAAACTATAAGGCAAAGACGCACATTCATGTAAATTGGCTTGTGGTGATATTTTTCCAATGACAGCTAAACTTGTGTGAATCACATATTATTGAAGGGGACAATAAAAATATGTGTGTATACATACATATTTATGTTATGTATAACTTAATAAAGTTATAATAAATTATAACTATTAATAAACTATGTTTATGATTTTAAATATTTTATTTTCATTAACAATAAAATTAACAAAATATAAAATTATAACTTATATAAGTTATATTTTATTGAGGATGCTAAATAAAAAATATTATAAACAAAGTGTTTCTGAAATGATAGTTGTTTTGGAAGACCAGCTTTGAAGAGGTGATACTTAAACAAAAGCATTCATGGATGGAGAGAGCCAGAGAGATCTGGAAGAACATCTTAAATAGAGGGTACAGAACATGCAGGCTTAGGAAGGGATAGAGAATAATGGGGTTTTCTAAGATGTATTTTTATTATTTTTAATTTTGTGTATGTGTATATGCATGTAGGTATGTGGGTATGTGCATATAAGTGTTGATGCTTCAGAGCCTTGAAGCATTGGATTCCCCTGGAGCTACAGTTATGGGGTTGTGAGCTGTTTACCATGTGTGCTTGGAACTAAACTCAGGCCTTCTGTAAGAGCACTATGCACTCTTAATGGCTGACCATTTCTCTGGGCTAGAAAGGACAGCAGATTTTTTTTTTTTTTAGCCTATACAACTAGAGTTATGGAAAGGAATAGGATTGTACAAAAATGTCAAGTTCTATTTTGGATATTTTGAAATTCCTGTTGCACACCTGAGTAAAAGTACCAGGCATGATTGTATAATTCTGAAACTTAAGACCAATGTTGATACTGTGTCTGGAAGTCATTGATGTATAGATCCTAACAAAGGTCATGAGATAATAGCTATGGATTGAACCCTGACAGGAGAAGAACAGGGTTGGTGATATGACTGAAAGTCAGGGAGGGCTAATGAAATCACAGAACATCAGAAAGGGGAAGGAAATCTCTGTCATTATGGGTGTCTTATCTTTTAACAGTCTTAGTTCTTGTTTAGGGCTGTGAATGGAGAGATGCTTTTCAGCATGAGCATCCTGTGGAATAGTGCTTCTTATCATGGGCAACCAATGGATACAGATTTCTCATTGGGGCAACCTATGGGGAGGGGCTTCTGATTCAGGGAAGCCTAAGGAGAAATACTCACGGAAGTAGTCTATGGAGAAGTGCTTTTCATTCAGGGCAGCCTCTAAAATGAACCCAGAAATTATTTTCTTCAGGCTATTCCAGCACACCCTGTCAGACTGGCTCTAAAATTGGCATTATTAAGCCAAGTCAAATCAGCATAGGCTGTGTCCTCTCTGAAGTTTTGTGCCTACATCTTGTGGGATCAGGAACAAACAAATGGAGAGTACGCTCTAGCTGTAGCTCTATATCTAGCTCTAGAGGGATAGAATTTGTGCCATGTCAGCACAGACCATGATGGGACTGGCAGAACAAACCAAGCAAACATTTTGCTCATCACCCTGCCACAATGAAGCTCTTAAAGTCAGCTATGTACCTAGAAACCTCTGGAGTACTGTGAAGTACAGAGCAGTGCAGCTCATATCTGGGGCTGGGACACAGACAGACCACAAATGGTTTCAAATGGTGGCATTTTAAAACTGGGTAAGTGATGTGTCCTATAATATTATTAAGATACCAAAGAGCCACAGACCAAGGTAATCTGCTTTATAGTCTCTGTGATGTTGTTTCCAGACACTAAACTATGTTCCTATAAAGTGGGCTGCTAGATACTGTTATTTTTCTGGTACCTAATGTTATCACATAGGAATTAATTTGTATTTTGCTTTATGACATACATAGTTCTTGGCTAAATTAGGTGGTTCTCAAGGCTTGCTTTTTAAAGTAATCTTTGGTGTTTGCTTTCTATTGACTTGCAAAGTTATTTGGACTTTTATAATAGCAAAAGTACAGATGAAATTAGCTATAAGGAGTAGCAAAATCTGTTCCCTGGCCACCACAAACTTTTTGATTCATTTTCCATAGTGTAATCCATGATTAAATGTTTCTTTCAGAGAAAGAGAATTTCTATAATAACAGCAGATCCATAAAGGTGTATATTTGTACATTACATTAGATTAATTTGTTGGAGATAGCATGGTTGCAGCTAGCTAATAGCCTAGTTAAAACAGACTAATACATAGTTGAGACACCAATCTTTTACTTTTGCTATCTTTGCTTTGTGAATCATTTTTAATGTGCTCTTACTGTGTAGACCTGGCTGGCCTGGAGCTTGCAGTGTAGACCAGACTGGCCTCAAACTTACCTGCCTCTGCCTACTCCAGTGCTAGGACTAAAAGCATATGTCACCACTGTTGTATTTGTTGATCTTGGTAGAAAAACTGAAGACACTACTCTAGGAAGTCAAAGGCACCTTGGTTCAAACCACTTAGCTCATGTTTCTGGACCTCAGTTTCCTCACCTATAAAATAAGAAAATCAGTCCAAATATGTGAAAGACCTATTTTCTCAGTGGGTAACCAGTATGAGTGTTCCTCTTCTTGGAGGTCAACTCTATCCCTTACAAGAAGTGCTGTAAAGAACAAATGTATAATTGTTCAGCCTCTCTGTCTTGCAACAGAAAGCTTGCACACTGCAGGCTATGGAACCACTGTCTACCCCAACCTGGTTTGGCATAAGTAATATCATCACTGTTACCAAGACTGTTCTTCCTATTCTACAGTGTCTCTTTAGTTACAAAGTTAGAAAGGACTGCTGGGGCTCAGCAGAAGAGTGAAGTTGTCTGTAAAGACAGTAGCGGGGCCTTGTTCTCAAACCCTTTATGGGATTTTTTTTCCCCTTAAAGTTTCCCTGTGGTGGAATCTGTGGTCAAACTATTCCCCTGGTACCTCCCAGGGCCTTTGAATCCTAATATTTTAATGTTCTGATCCTGTTGTGTCTGGGCTATCTTACAGGTATGAGACATCTCTGTTGGATTTGGTTCAGTCACTGAGCTCAAATTCTGCTCCCAAATCTCAGTCCCATTCCTCCAGACCAGCAGGGGCATGGAGTACTTTCCGACCTAGCCCTCAGAAATCGACCTGGAAGAAACTGGGGACACTCAGGAGCCCTGAAGACCTGGAGGAGAGTCAGATTCTGGAAGACATATTTTTCATATGACTGAAGCACATGCTACACATTTCCATGAGAAGTCTTAGTCTGCCTGCCCTGGCTGCACTGAGTCTAGGAAAGCTCTGCTGATTATCCTTTCTGGCCCAGATCTAAATCTCTTCTCTTCAGGCTGAACTCAGTCCTGTTGATTTTCCCAGCTGCCTTCCCTTGGAGCCTCTCAATTTCGTACTCTTTCTCAGAGGCAAATGAAAAGGCACAACTAAAACACTTGTAGTCATTCCCTTTGGAAATTAAAAGTTCATTGAAGATTCCATTTTCTGTTTCAACTTCATCCTGAAAGTAACTAGAACAGACTTGCTCCATTTCAAAACACCTTTTTTAGGATATGTCTTTGGAGTGGCAGAAATGGCCATTTTCTCAGTTAGGTTTCACTCTATCCCATGTGTCACAGGCAGCTTAACTATATTGATTCCTTTAGGCCTGCTATAACCATAGTCACTTGTTCTGAGCATCCATGTTCTTACTACTCCAAAGTATGTCCCCAGAAGGATAAGCAATAGAATCTGATTTTTTTTTAATAAGCTTATTTACTCATAGAAGAGTCATAGCCTAAAAACCATAGGCTTTTTGTGATGGAGTGATATGCAGTGAATGGAATTTAATTGCCTTTTCACCTCACCAACATGGAAGTTTGGAAGGGAAAAATGAGTTTTCAGGGGAGCATCAATCAACACACATTTGTACTTCACATTCCCTGCCAGCTGCCTTCTCTCTCCTGCAGGCATTCCATTTTTGCACTGTTGTAAGGGTGTTAGGAAGTGACTTTATTATTAATTGGATGATATGTGTTAACATTTTAATCTGTATTAAATTTCTTTTGAGATATATGTGTTGTTGTAGATTATTGGGGCATGACCTAATTGTAGTTTATCCCACAGAAGAATGGAAAGAAAGTAGGAATCATGTGCTCTCCGCTGATACTGCTATCTTAAGTGGCTGGTTGGAACTTGCTTGGCCAGCCCCTAGATTTTTTCTCAAAGCAAAATTGTACAAATACTGAGAATGTCACAGCTGCAATATTGCCCACCCTGCAAACTTCCACTCTGTGAGAGAAAACCAGTGTTTGTAAAATGAACACATATATGTCCACTGGACTATCTAAGTGAGGCCCAAGTGCTTGGTTTAAAATGTCAAGATTAATCAAGGGAAACCTTTTGTGAGCATCACCCTTTCAAGAGTGAAAGACACAAGGCAAACTTGTGTCTTTCCAAATTGACCCACTGTGGCAACTCATCTGGATCGCTTCAGGTGTCCTAAAGAAGGCCTGACTCTCCCACAGAGCTACGCCTCACTGGCTCAGTACCAGGTTTCAGTACCTGCTACTGTTTCAGTACATGGTAGAGGTTTGCTGGTGAAGGAGAAGGGCCTGAAAGAACAGAACTCGCTACAGTTGGCTAAAGGTACATTAATTCTAATGTTGACAAATGTTTTGTGGCAAGTTGATAAATAGTCTCTATGGTTATTTTCCTCGTGGTTTTGATAATGAATTGTGTCTTTGTATATCTCTCATAGCATCAATGAAGTATAGTTTTAGAGCAATAGCAAAACACCAAATTATCAAAGAACTATTCTTTCCTTCTTCCTTGTTGGGAAAACAGGAGCCTATGGTCATTTGAAAAAACAGAAATAGTGTTCCACATCCCAGGTGGAGTTCTCAGTGCAGCTCCAGCTCATTCCCATCACCAGAACATCAGGGCTCAATAGGTTCTGTAGTTGCTGAAATGAGCAGTTCAATCTAAGCACACTTTTGAGTCCATCCCATAGTATCTCTTGCAAGAAACATATGTCTTATCACTTAGAGATAGGAGTTCTGTTCCTGTCTGGTGGTTTTTAGGTGTTCAAAGAATCCAGGCAAGGGCTTGCATAGATGCATAGTTCCAAGATCACACCCATGTGTTCCCCAAAGGCCCTGACTTGCTTCCCTTCCTGTAGGCCAGCCTGAGCATATCTCTGGGCAGCTGCCTCTCAGAAATGTATATTTATTTCCTCCTCAGGGAATTTGTCAGTTGGTAGCCCTCAAGGACTGACTGACACGACTGAAGTACATAACTTCTCATGTGCAGAAATGGAGACCATGGGGAGGCTTTCTAAAATTATCTAAAATGATATCCCTAAGGGAGAAAAACATGAATTTCCAGGCATGAAAGGCTTCTATAAATAATAGAGGCTAACACATCTCTAATAAAGAGACTTTTTAATCAAAGACAATAGCCAAAATGAGTTGAGGGGGTGGCTGTTCTAGGAGAAGGAAATCGGCTGCTTGGTACTTAGAGACCAGTAGGAACAATCTATTGCTTATGTTGCTAAGTGGGTACAGCTGCTTTGTTCTGAGCTGTCAACCTAACACTGATCCGCAGATACTCATCAATGTTCTTGGGCAGTAGAGTGACACTCCTCTGTTTCACACATTAGGTACTGTTGCCTTCTCTAAGAAAATGGATAACAGAAGACTGATAAAAAAAAATCTGTTTATGAAGAACCAGGTATGGGGGTGCATACACCTGAAATCTCAGCATCCAAGTGGGATTCAGATGGTGACCCAAATAAGGGCATGCTAAATATCAGACCATGAAGTTTTAACCATCACACAATGAAAAGCCTAAGATACTTCGAGATTTCTTGTTAAATATTAATCTATATACATACCATTCTCACTTCACTCACACAACAAATGCTTAGAGAGATTGAAGGTTACACCTCAGACAGTAATTCATGCTGCTCATAAATGGACTAGATTGAAGATATCTATTCTCCACCCATGTACTATGCCCTGTCCAGACCTCCTCTTGCCAGCCAATGCAGGTAAGACATGAAGCACAAGTACCAGTTGTCAAAATGTTGCCACAGGCTGCAGAGAGACTAGAACTTTGTCATTGCCACCCTGTCCCACTAGTCACCTTGTAGTTTTATGCTTACAGGTCTTGAGAGAAGGGCATTTGAAATACTACTACCATCAAGCTTCCTAATAATTCTTCCTAAGGCTAGATCTCTGGTAACTCACCATAGGACATTTAGGGGCAGTAGACCAGATAAACCTAGAATCTGACTCATTTGCTAGAGACTGAGTTGGAAAGACTTCAATTCTTGAAAAAAAAAAAATGTGCACTGAAGGAAATTGGGAGGCCACTGACTAGTGAATAACGCATCCTTCAAGAGAGAGGTAAGGGGTCAGAAATTGCTCTGGCCAGCTCTCTCAGAAATATGTCAAGGAGAGTTAGAAAGATACTAGGCCCCGCTAGTGGCAAGGACAGAGTGAAGGAAAAGATTTCAAAGGCAAATATATCTTCATTAGTCCCCATACGTTCCTGATGGGAATGTAAATTAGTGTGCATTTACTTGAGAAAAATAGCCCGGCAATTTCAAAATGTCAAATAGTTCAATGACGACCTAGAAATTTATATCTAGATATGTTTTCAAAGAGAAAAGAAAAAATATGGAAATCAAGTGAATCAACCAACGAATAGATAAATAAATTATGGTATATCCATATACCAGAATATTACTTGGTAAAGGGAGTATATACTACCACACAGTTTAACCCTTAAAACATGAATCTGAATAAAGACATGCAGTCATAAAAGACCACACATGGTATGATACCATTACATTGATATCTGCATAGCACAACCCTAGGGGCAGTTGATCAGTGGTCAGGGGGTGTCAGAACTTGGTGGATGAGAAGGGACTGATCAAGTCTTGGAGTTTATTTTTAGAATGTTGAAATGTGATAAAATTGAGGTAGTTGACTCCCTGGTAATATACTAACAATGGCCAAACTGTTGTTTTAAGTTAGTACACTCATAGGCAGTGGAAAATGGGACAGATAATGCCTGCCTTGGTTTCTGAGTAGGCAAAGTTGCTAGAAATCGAAGGGCAAACATTTGATCTGGATCACTCTACCCATGGGTGAAGAGCACCCTAGAAAAGTGTCCATCAAAGGAAAGAGAGACAACAATGAAATAGAAAGGAAAGGAAAGTCAGGTGAGGTCTGCATGAGAGACATACAGATATTTTCACAAGCTGTGGAGCAAGCTTACACTTGACAAAAGTCCTTTGGTTCTCAGCATAGGTCCTCACACCCAGAAGAAAATCCGTGAACATTTTTTATTATCCAGAAAAAAACAAAGTCAGGAGATGACATGCTACCCACAGCATCGCTTCTTCACTCAGAAATGGAAGGCACTGTGTCAAGTTGTGTAACCTTGGTTAGTTGTGTGGAGAGGGGACTCTTGTTGGCATATCTGTATATCCAACACACATGCATTTGTGTTTAATTTTTTAAAGCACATTTGATGGGTCATATTGAAACCTACTACAGTAGAAGCTTTTTAAATATACATATATGAAAAAGTCTAAATGGAATAACAAAATAATGAGGGAGACAAAGCCCTACCTTGACATCTCTCACCACCAAATGAAACCTCCAGTGCCAGGAATGGATTACATTTAATTTAATTGTTAGCCAGATGGGCCCCATGAACAACCCCCCCAAGACAACCCAGGCTATTGCCAAGGCTATTGGCTGCTCCCCACATATTGATGGAAGACCATATTGCTGAAGACACGCCTGCTTAACTCACTGAACAGAGATGAGTTGAGCTGGTGCCTACGTAACTCACTGAACAGAGATGAGTTGAGCTGGTGCCTACCTAGATCTTTCACCCCTACTGAATAGTGTTCATTGTATTGTAACATACTCTACATGCTACTAAGGGAGAAAGATCAATACCAACCCAGCTACAAGCCCTTCAGTCTGCAGTGGTGACCTGCCTACGTGCTCTGGTACAATAGTGGCAAAAAGTCAAGCAGCCACTATCTGCTTGGATTTGAGGCCTACTCTGTGAGATTGAACCCATGCCTGACACGTCTCAAGTGGCCAAGAACCTAGGGGGAACCATCGCCCTAGGGGGAAAAACAAATGCTACTGTTCTGCTAAAAGAATGAAGCCATAAAATGACTCCTAGTGGCATTCTGCTATACTCATATATCAGTGTCTTCATCAGCCATCATTAGAGATGCTTTGTCCTGCAACAGATGGGAACTAATAATGACCCACCATTGGACAATATATAAAGACTGAGAGACCTCAGAATACTTAGTCCTAACTAGGATGTCTCCATCAAACCCCTCAGGGTCAGGGTGTGAAGAGAATGCAGAAAAGTTGGGATTGGGGGGATGACACCAAGGAAACAAAACCTTTAAACTAATGGGATTGGTGCATATATGAACTCATAGACACTAAAGCAGCATGCACAGTGGCCTGCCTATACAGGTGTGAACCAGATGGGGTCCTAGAGCTGAAAGGGGAAATGTGTACAAGCTCCCATCCCTACCCCAGAAGCTATCTCTAACTGACAACCACTCACAAAAGAAAAACTAGTTTTCTCCAACAGAATTTCATTGGGTGTATACAAATGACACTTAAGGGCAGGCCTACTCCCAGCAATCGGTGGCCAACTCAAAACTCTATGATATTTTTTTAAACAGGTCTTTTGCCTATATATTATGGTTTTCTATTTTGTGTTTATGAGTTCACTCTTTCCCTTTCTACTTCTCTGTGTGTGTGTGTGTGTGTGTGTGTGTGTTTGCACATGCATGCATGTCCATCTGTATGTGTTTCTTTTTCCTTTTTCTTCTGCTCTTATACTGTTTTTTTTATTTGTTTTGTGTTTGTTTTGTTCTGTCCTGGTTTATTTGTTGTTTTGTGTTTCTTTTTTTGTTTTTTGAGGTTTTAGGGGTTATTTAGGTGGAGGGTTTTTTTTTTCTAATGAGAAAGAGAAAGGATGTGGATTTGGGTAGGTGAAGAAATAGGGGGCATCTGGGAGGA